GGCCGGAAGGTGATCGACCCCATTAGGACCTCACAGCGTAACTTAGGCTAGTTGAAGAAGTACGCCCGGCTTGTGGATTGCTAGTCCTCATCACCCTTACACCGCCCTCACCAAATACCGCCTAATCGGAAACCCTCAGCTTTTCTGCAAAAAAAATCTCAAAACTGAGGACAAGGCGGGAGACTCCAGGCAGATTGTTATGAATTATGTTTCAAGAAAAGGTTGGCGAGTGAACTTTCCGATCAGTCTAACAGTTTTTGGTCTTAATATTTTGCGACCGCATGATCAGTGCGACTGCTCTACGCTCGAACTGCAATCGCGCTTAGTAAGATGATAGCAGCACAAGAAGTCCAGATTTTACGTGGATGTCTTTCCTTCCAGCAAAGTATGCATTGCAAAAAAGCAGATCAGTACATCACTCATATAGCGTATTCTATTTATTGTATTGGCATTATAATGAACCCAAAGATTCTTCAGTCTTGTTTTAGTCCTTTATTCGAAAACAAGTCTCCCCTACATGGAGGTTAAACGCGGATATGCGTTGTGGTTTTCTCAAGGCAACTGGCCAAACAACCGGTTTCAAGCATTTTATGGCGTGTTCCATCTCGAAATCTATAATTTAGGTTGAAGAAACTCGAAAATGAGCTTGACCATTTGCAAGTGATGGAAGATTACGTCAAGCTGGAAACTAGAAATCTTGAAAAAGAGCTCCTTCACGCACAAGAAGAGGTTAGTTTATCGGAGTGAAAGTGACATTTAATCCAGCATAGAATTTTTCCCCCATCATCAGCGTGTTTCTTACTACACTTACACTTCAAATGGCTATAAGTCGTGCTTTTTTACTCTATCACATGCTCATGGAATAACGTCTCATTTACGTCTAGGTGAAACGTATTCAATCGGTACCGTTGGTTATTGGTCAGTTCTTGGAAGCTGTGGATCAGGATCATGCTATTGTTGGCAGCACAACAGGTGTGTACGTTCTAGTTTTGATCCTAGTGCTACTTTTTTGCTTGACTTTATGAAAGAACTTTTTTTAAGTGCATGTGAATTGAGGTTCTGGCTTTGTCTAGTGCGTTCATTTGACTGTTTCTCAGGATCCAACTACTACGTTCGCGTGCTGTCAATATTGGATCGTGAACTTCTCAAACCCGGCTGCTCAGTTGCCTTGCACAAATATTCCAATGCACTCGTCGATGTTTTACCACCGGAGGCTGATAGCTCGATTCAGGTAATATTAATCACAGTCGTTTACTTGTAGTGTTAAGCAAGCTTAGAGTCACTACAGGATGGCCAAAAAACGACCCTTCGCTCATGGGGCGTCAGCAAGCTTTACCTTCTTAAGGGTACCTTTGTCGATAGAAATTCCCCGACCAAAGTATCCTGAAATGTCCCTCCACACGCCTACGAAACCTGTTCACGGCCGTCATCGTCTTCAGAATACGAAGTCATTCGCTATTGCTATCGAGCCCAAGGATGTCTACCGTAACTATTCAGGGACTGGGAGACTTTGAGACACTTCCTGAGCTCAGCTCACGTTTCCGGCAGACTCCTCTGATGTCGGCCGTGAAGACTTCTAGGCTATTAACTCTATTAGAATGGACTGCGCTTTTCAATTATCACACGGAATCATCCGGTTTGAGTTTAGTAATGTGCAATATCTGAAAATGGAGGCAGATTGTGCTTTTTTCACCACCCCTGTATATGTCCTTGAATTTAATAAAAATGAAATGAAATGACTAAGAAAATATGTATCACGCAGAAACCATTGTTTTTTGGAGTTCTAGAAGAGTGTTGTAGTAGTTATTTTTTAATGGGAGTTCATTCAAAGGGATATATTCAGTTCAAGTGCAGTGCTATAGAGTAGTTTATTATGTAACGTTGTCTCAAATTGCCTCTTATAGATCTCATCTTGGAAGCCATTACATTTACTAAGATTACTTTTTTACTATTACTTAATCTCTTGCAGATGTTACGTCCTGACGAGAAGCCGGATGTTTCCTACGCTGATATCGGAGGTCTCGATATGCAGAAGCAGGAGGTGCGTGAGGCTGTTGAACTGCCACTCACCCACGGCGAGCTGTACAAGCAGGTCAGTTCCTTTTCATTTGCAGGCGCTGAAGAGTGCTAAATGTACAAGATAAAACTAGTCGTCTTGCATGTGCAAATGCGTAGAAAAGAGATTCATTTTGATTAACCCTTGTGTCTTTTAAACCAATAATTTTAGATCGGTATTGACCCTCCACGTGGAGTCCTCATGTATGGTCCTCCTGGATGTGGGAAAACTATGCTTGCTAAAGCTGTGGCTGCCAATACAGCTGCTTCTTTTATAAGAGTCGTCGGTTCTGAATTCGTTCAGAAGTATCTCGGAGAAGGTTTGTGCTGTGATTTCGACTCGAGAAATGTCTGTAAGTAACTATTCCTTCTTAGGTCCCAGAATGGTGCGTGATGTGTTCCGTCTAGCCAAAGAAAATGCTCCCTCTATCATATTTATTGATGAAATTGATGCAATTGCAACAAAGCGATTTGATGCTCAAACAGGAGCAGATAGAGAGGTTGGTGAAATCTTTTAACAATTTTTCGAATAAGTTTTTGAAGATGTTCTGTACTCTTTTATTCACTTCGAGTCCTTCACTTTAATGATTTTTTTCTTTGGAAAGGAAGGTTGCTGTTGCCGAGGAAGTTATGCTAGAAGGATTCTTTTTCATTCCATTCATGAATTTGTGTAATACAAGGAAACTGCAATAGGAAATCTATGGGATACCTCTTTTATTCGAACTGTTTTAACGCAATTTCAAGTAGAAATGTTCTGTTTTTGGGGTTTTTCGCATGCGGTACATTCACCTCCACTACAGTTAAGTATGGTTGGTTCCATTTGATAGTTTCGTTGCTTACCAAATAATATGTTTGTTTTTTAGGTTCAAAGAATACTGCTTGAGCTTTTGAATCAGATGGATGGCTTCGATCAAAGTACCAACGTCAAGGTTGTCTATTAACTAGTGTCTATTCTTGTCTAATCTAAATACTACACATTACTATTGCTTAGTCTTATTGCTTTTGCATGAAAGGCGTTCTTTCAAGGTGATAATGGCTACAAATAGACATGATACGTTGGACCCTGCTCTACTGCGGCCTGGGCGACTTGACAGGAAGATCGAATTCCCACTTCCAGACCGGTTTGTTCCATTACAGTTCGAAATGTTGGCGCACAGTAGCTATAGAAACTTTTCTTGAGTCATGGTTTAATTGTTATGGGGGAGTTTGAATAGTGGATTCACCCACCGTTCCCACCTCTGCAATGAAAATGATACATGCCTTGTGTCGCAAAATATATTGTAAGTGGCAAACTCGGGTCAATCTGGAATACATGCGCTCCTACTGGCAACATACTTTTTTGTTCTTGGTGGACTGATGTCAGAAGTACCACTCTGAAGCGGAAGACGCACCTTGTGAACGAATCGATACTGGATTAGTATTTCCTTCAGAACCACAAAACTTTTGATAAAGTCACGACGCAAGCACTCTTCCTTTCCTTGCCTATCATCGAATTAAAATACGTTATTTAGGCGCCAAAAACGTCTCGTGTTTACTACGATCACCTCAAGAATGAACCTATCCGATGACGTAGATCTCGAGGACTACGTCGCACGGCCGGATAAGATATCTGGAGCTGACATAAATGCCATTTGTCAAGAGGTCCGTGAGCTAGGAACGAGATAATGAAGCGCAGTTATTTGATTACCCGTTTCAGGCTGGAATGCACGCTGTTCGAGAAAATCGTTACGTCGTACTCACAAAAGACTTTGAAAAGGCGTACAAGAATGTGATTAAGAAGGATATGAATGATTTTGAGTTCTACAAATAATCATCAACTGGTTACATCTGCTGTGGCTCTTATTTTAGTCTATGGCTTCTTTAACTACATTTAAATTGAAAGTAATCTTGCACGGGATGTATCTCATGTCCAATAAACTAATTATTTCATTTTTTCTTTCATTATGTAGATTTCATTGTTGTAAGATGACGTGAAATACAGTAAGGACAGCATCTTAACATTTATCTAAAATCTGGGGAGTTGGATAACCATGTCTCCACTATGCTCCCAACATCACGTTTCAGCTATCTTTTCTGAAGCGAGCAGTTCAATTCTCAATGATCATTAAATTCCCATTAGAATGGTCTGAAAATAAGGATGGATACATTAAAAAGAGGGATTCTTTGAAAACCAACTTCGATGAGGACAGAGGTGAGACAGGTTTGCTCACCACACGCTCAAGTCTGCTTCTTAGGTGATCGATCTTGCGACTCGGCGACAAACCTAGATAGGCCTTGTAGCACTCTTGAAACAATAGATACTGTTTGTTAGGTTGGAAGTCGAAGGAATTGTCGCAGGACTGTTTGACCCATTTAAGTATCACACCTTTCTAACCTGAATTTTCCCTTCTCTTGCAGATTTTCGGTTTTTTTTGTATATTGGTTGTTCCAGCAAAGTTCAATAGCCATTAGAAATGGATATATCCTATTCCTTCTGGCGCGATGTGTGGTATTTTCAAGTGGGTGGCATACAAGGGGAAGAGGGAAGCCGAAAAACTGACTTCGTGCATCAGTGATTATTTGTCGAGTCAGCCATTTGCCGATTAAGGAAAAGCGTTCAAGCAAACTATCTCAGCCATCGTGTGGGCGATCTCGCATCATCTGCCATCTCAAGGAGGCTACCGTAATTGCTTCAGCCTGCAATACAGTACATAATTTCTTGAACTGATTCACTCTAGAATAGTTTCCTAGAGATATTAGCTCTGCCCGGTGCCATGTTTATGCGGCAGATTCCCACGTAAAAGCTATTACAAAGTTTTGGGTCTATTCCAGTTTAGGGGGGGCATCATGATGCAGTTTCTCGGCGAGCTAATGTAAACTCGAACATTCCAGCTTCTCACGCATGTCAAGTGACTGCCCTCACCCCCACCCCCTAGGCTGGCTACACTCCCCCTGGCTCAGAGTTACCGTAGCTTTTTGGGAGTCACCGCACCATGATGCCCCCCTAACTGGAATAGACCCATGTTTTTTTTTCACAAAATGAATGTGTTCTTCTACGTCCAGCTGGGAACACTTGGCTTGTTATTCATTCATTTGAATGTAGACAAGGTGTGTACGTAGTGTGAAAGTGCTCGAAAATTGTGCCAACGCCTATTAATCAAGATGACCCTTAGTCTATGTACTAACTTCGCTCTCCGGTCGCCTTCTTAATAAAGATGTCGTCAGTTGTGGTGTTTGATTCGTATTCACCTCACTACACCCTAATGATCGCCTAAAAGTGCAAAATCAAATCGTTTTGCATTTTTGATTTATGTTTTCAACTAGCTGTTATCCTTTTGTAATTATTTGACTAAATTTGTTTTGGTTTATTTTCTCAGCCTATGCGCCGCGTGTAATGGAATGCAGCTGGGAATGATCCGCTATTAAATTAACCCATTACAGGTAGAAATTGTGGTTCGATAGGAAGGCACACTATGCAAGTGGACAGATCGCAGCGTTCTGTATTTGGTGTGCCACATTTTTATCCTTGATTATTTTTAAATAGTTACACTTTGTTCAAGTATTCCTAATTTAGTGGGAAACATTTCGTATGAAGTACCTGAGGACACAATCCGCCAAATTTTTTCCAAGGTGTGACATCATTAATCAGCTTTTTAGTGAAGTAATATAGTTAGTAGGATTAGGATATTTAGGTAGGACATGTCGTCCATATTAAAATGGTTCATGATCGTGAAACTGGCAAGCCAAAGGGTTATGGTTTCATCGAGTTTCTCGACGTGCAGACTGCTGAACTGGCTATCAGGAATTTGAATGGGTGAGTGCTGTCTCGTTATTTTTCTGAAATAGGATTGCAATGTG